AAAGGGATTATATCTTGGGTAGAAGGAATGAGCTTCAGACAGGGTAGAGAGGTTGGACAGTTTAAAGACCAACACATTGTTGGTTTTGATCTGTTTCTTCTCTCAATGAAGAAAATAAAGAATATAACCACATTTAGGACTACCAGTATCTATCAGCTGCTATCAGTATCTTCAAACAGCGCTGGAGTTTTTCGCCACACTTTAGTCCCCATGGAAAGAGTCTGTTGGACAGCAGGTCAATCTGTGCACACTGCACCAGTCATTGAGGAGAAACCAGGTCACTGGGAGAAATCAGGTTACACGGGACACTGAGGACACATTTAGATCAGAAACAATCAACCAGTCAATTGACTGAAAAATTCATGCCAACAATTTCAATAATAGATTAATAATTTGAGGCACTTTTTTCAAGCAAGCACGGCATTTGATGGTTAAACAAATGTGGATATTTTCTAGTATTCTGTGTGAAGACTGGAGAGTTGGACAGTTGAAGACGTCACTTTGGGATTCAGGAATAGAGACACCATTTTTTGTTATTTTCTGCCATTCTATCGACCAAATGATCAGTACATTTAGAAAATATTTGTCAAATAAAGTGATGATCATTAGTTGCAGCCCAAGGTCAAACTATTTTGGACTGTAAAAGATAAAAAACGATGACTGGCCAGCTCACTCAGTGTAAAAGTCCAAAGTCCATCCTTTTGTAGTACATGGATAAACCAACTCCTTCGTGTCTTCTTGAAGGCTCTTTAGTCGAAAAGGAGTTGATTTATCCATGTACTAAAAAAGGATTTTTAACTACAGTCAGAGTGCTTTGGATGCATTTTTGGACTGTTATTGTGGACTGTTCCTTGACTACAATTTTTGTTAATTTGTATGTGTTTAATTAATTTTCATGGAGGAGAATAAATGGCCAACTAGAGATAAAATGATTAGCCAATCAAAATAAACAAAGTTACTCAGCAACTAGTTGGATAATCAGTGAAACATTTAAATTACATTTTGAGCAAAATGCAAAAATATTTGCTGGGTTCAGTGTCTGAAATTTAAGCATTTGTTACTTTTTATTGTCTCATATGACAGGAAACTGATTATTTATGGGGTATGTACTGACCAAAATACGTATTGTGTCATATTTTGGCATTTCTCACAACATTCCAGCCCAGTTGCCAGAAGAAGATGTTAGCATGGTTCATTTCTGCAAAACAAATGCAAAAGCCCGCTGTCTTGCGGGCCTGCACGGCGGAGTGATTCTGGCCAGAAAATAGTCCCAATTGATAGCAAGGTCTGATGTAATGCGGGGATGTTTTAAAATTATTGAAATAGTCTAACAAAACACATGCATGCTTTTTTGTAGCTTAAAACCTTTTGGTTACGTGTCCCCCGTACATCTTCAGAACTACTTTTTCTCCGGTAAGCTACGGGGCGATTTCTCAGAGCAGGAGGCTCGTTGAGAGTAGTGACACCGTCACATCAGAGCTACAGATGGTCAGCGTTTCACACAACGTCATGTCCAAAAACCTGAACTATTACTTTAAGACATAATTTACAGCTGAAAAAAGGTATTTAATTGCAATATGTTTTATCGCAATACTCATATGCGATAAAATATAAGCGTATGGCAACATGTTTAAAATCACAATAATATTGCATCATGCATCACCCCTATAATCCAGAGAAGATTGTGCCTCCCACCCAAAACCAGTATTTTCAGCCAAAACATGATCTTTTTCCGAACCATAACCACGTGGTTTTTTTGCCTAAACTTCTCCACACATTAACCACAGTGCCATAGAATACATAAAGTTTAACCTATCTGTTACATAATAATGTCAAAATGTAATGCGTCTGTGGTTTGTAGAAATTTCTAATGCTAACAATTTTTTCTGGTGATTGGGTTGACAGATCATTGGTTGCCACAACATAAATGCTATCAGATGAACAAATACAATCAGATGTCCATGTTGTCATGTTGTTTTTAACATAAACTTGGTCATAGTTTTGTCCCAAAGTATCATTTTTACTTTAAATATAAGAAACTTAGTTGACACAGTTGGATATTTGCTGGAGAATTCTTAATAATGAAACCATTAATACAGTTTTTTTTTTAAGCATTTGAGCTGGCAGCACAGTCAAACGAGCATGCAGTTTTTCCTCACAGTGCAAAAGTGTCAGCCGGAAACAGATAAATTTAGACTTCCAGAGCACTGTGTCAGTTTTATTTTTTGTTGCACTAACTATCAGGAAATACAATGACGCACAGCTGAGTGTTTCCTTTCATCCCACCACACTGATCTCACAGCGTCACTTTACCTCAGTGGAGTCATTGTCATGCACGTTTGTTTTTACAAAAACCTTGTTAGAGACCTGTTTATCTTTACACATGGCCATGAAATCAGGTTCCACCAGCTGAGATGCGTTACTCTAATCCCCTACCCCGATTATGGAAATCAGGCTACGGCAGAAAGCCAACAGTATCTTTACTATTTAAGTGCATGTAAACAAACATGAAGCTCTATATTTTGGCTACAAACACCCTACTCTCTACCAGAATGTAATTTAAAGACCGAAATGTGAATAAACTCATTCTTTTTAGTCTCAGCAGGCCTGTAAAACTAAATCAGCCCCGACTGTGGTTTATGCAGTGATTACTTTACAAATTTAACTTCTGTCCTCCATGTTCAGCTCAACCAGACGAAGCTTCTCACATCCTGGGAACATATACAGAGACGGATCACAAGGCTTTCAAGCGTTGCCAAAAGTAACAGTTGCGGCACATGGACCTTTTGTTAGCTGTGTAAAATGTACTTACAGTGAAATATTGTAGCCGTAAACTATGCCAAAGTTCATGGGTAAACATCCCCAAGCTGATTAAATCCTCATTCTTCTCAGAGGATTTTGTTTGAACGCCTCCCCGCGGTCGGACCTCCCTTTGTGAGTTGTCCTGTCTGCTGATGTCGGTTTATTTGTCTGCTCTGCTTCACAGGAGCTGCTGGAGAAGTTCATGGAGGGAAACCTAAGCCTGGATGAGTTCCTGGACTCTTTCCAAAGCTCCAGGAAGACGTATCATATCCGCCGGGCCCAGGCGGAGAAGATGCAGGAGGTCGTGCAGGCCAAGCGACAGCCGAGCAAAACCAAGAGAGTGGAGGAGAGCAAAGAGGTAAAGAAGGACTCGGAGCAGCCGCAGGAGCCTCAGCGGCCCAATGGCTTCGTAGCACAGGGACCTCTTCGAGTGTTCCAGGTACGCTACGGCCTCACGCCAGCTATCCTCCTCCCCCATTACCCCGTTTCTCCCCCTGCCTCAGCTCCAGGCCATCAAAGTAGTACTCCCCCACCTGAACCGGGACAGACCCACATCCTCAGCCCCAGCACCCCACTCCCAGGACACGGCCAGCCGGTCGGCCTCAGGGTCATTGGACAGTTACCGGGTGGCTGGCCGGCTAACGGGCGGCCGGTGAGAGTGCAGCAGCTGTATAGGCCGAACCCTCAACAGCCTGAGCCGCCGTACCGATAAGCTGGAGGAGAGGGGAGGAGGAGGAGGAGGATGAAAAGCCGGTTTGAGAGGTCTTCCAAGACATGGAACCAAACAGTGGCCGTCACAATCATGTAAGCAAAGACTGATTCAGAGACAGGCAGCGCTGCAGACGTCCGTTTCTGTTCTCCATCCATGACACACAAATGTAACCAGAGCAGAGACTGGGAGGCAGCAGGTGACTAGGACGAGGAGGGAGGACTAGGGATGGGCTCCGATAGCAGGATTCGTTTCGACACTGACAAATCTCTTATCAAATCTTTTATCTCTCCTTATTGTTTCTCATTTATTATGGAAAACACAGACGAATCTGATAGCCGATTTATGAGCTTGGCTGGCGAGCGCCGTCTATGACTGCAGAGTGTAGAGCACAGTAACACTGAGAGTGAAAGCAGAGACGATTGAAAAAAATTTAAAATAATCATTACATAGATTATTAACATGAGCGTACCACTTCAGTCTGATCTGCATAGTCTGGATGTGAAGTAGCTACCACAGCCCTGCATGAATAACTGATCTTGTGATTTAAATAGTCAAAGCATTATGATTTCTTACATTGTAATCAAAAGAAATGCATCAATTGATTAAACTTTGAAACACTTTATTCTGTATAAGTGGAACTTCAGCCAGGAAAGGTAAGAGAGCTACCACGTCATACGCCCTATCGGCTCATTTCGTTAGAGGTTTATGGTCGGCCTTTTGCCGGCTTGCTGCTCTGATTGCCATCAAAACATGAAGATTGAAAAAAATAATGGAGACTTAGGGAAGTAAAATTGATTTTGTGGAGGAGAGAACTTTTAATTTCCCTTTCCCCCCCAAAAGAATGTTTGTTGTTGGAGCAGCTGAAAACACAGTAGCCGTCTCTTAAAACTGGACTAAATATGGCTAAAATTTGTTGACCTTTAATTCAGTTTTATTCATAAAGCCCAGTATCACAAATCACAATTTGCCTCAGAGGGCTTTACAGCATACGACATCCCTCTGTCCTTTGGAAAAGTCCCCCCAAAAAAACCCTTTAACAGGGAAAAACAAAATGGTAGAAACCTCAGGTAGAGCAACTGAGGAGGGATCCCTCTTCCAGGACGGAGAGACGCGCAATAGATGACGTACAGAACAGATCAACATGATAAATGTACAGTGATCCATATGACACAATAGCTGGTTTTAGCCTGGTTTCACTACCAGAGCGTCAACATTTGCTGCTTGGGCAGCGTCCCCGGCGTCACTGTAATGAACTTAAGGCACCATTCAGTGTCGATGTGAGACGCATCGGGCTTTACACCAACTTCAATATAAACTAATTTGTGTCGTTAATAGACGCTCAGAGCAACAAATGTGTTTTAAAGACCGTGAAAGTCAGCTCAGGGTGGGTGGGCCCAACAGACAACAGACTTTGACCCAGGAGAGCCGTGTTTGAGACCAACAAACACCAATTCCGGTTGCACATAGTTTTGTAGCCTCAACCTAACCGCTGACCCCTTTTTGCCACTGCGTGAAGATACAACTTAAAAGGCTGCCCTCTGCGTCTTTTAAGTGACGCCAGGGGCTTCTGCCCAAGTAGCAAAATTTGGCGAATAGGGATGAGATCACTTAAATGGGTTTAGGTTTACAAATGTGGTGCCGCCATGGTCTGCTTCACCTACAACTTGGATTTATCTGTAGTAATCAGCTTCTGATTCTTCACCAAATGTGGCAGTTAAAATGACTGGTAGGATCATCTTATTAACATTCAGTCCGTAGCTGCTAAAATTAAGTTTCATATAAAGTGTCATCGTCATCTTCAGGTACAGGTTGTGAACCATTAAAGACTGTAGTGTTTCTTTCTCCTCAGCCAACAACAAGCAGTTAAACATCCACTTACTTTAACCTTTAATTACTGCAAATGCTTAAAGGTAAAAGGATTTGATAAAACACTATCGAACCCCATCCCCAGGGAGGACATGGAAGTTTTAATTATTTTTGATTTTATTATTATTATTTTTTTACATCCTACACAGAGGGATGTGAAGCACAGGGTTGTGAAGCACATCTTCAAAGCCGAAACAAAAAGATAAAGGATCTCATTGTTCATTCATACACCTTAAGGACAGGGAGAGGCTTTGTGAGATGAGACGAGTCATCACAGTGAATGATGGCATCAATAAAGTGGTGTTTAATATAAACTCTCATTGTTTTTCGTCTTATCAGATATTAACAGTCATACCTGGAAAAACTCCTGAGATCACAAGTGCTGATAATAGATCGCTGCAGAGTTTAAACAAACACAACCAGAGCAGAAGGTATTTATTAATAATTCCCAGACTGTAAACTGTCCGTATTATTTGCAGTGTCATGTGTGTTGGCGTCACAGATGATTCCCCCAAAGCTGTCTGCCTACTTGTGTGATTTCATGAACAGTGTTGGAGCTCACACGATTTATTTATTCATGTAAATCCCATTTTAAATGGCTGACTTCAAAGCTTCTTGTTTACTGTGCTAAATGAAGAGCTGCTTCTCTCTTTCAAGGCAGCCAGTGTTTTTATTTCTCCCCCCCTCCGTACTGAGACGCAGAGTGAGGGGAATTTAATCTCTATGAGAATGCCGGCGCTCTGCAAGCCCACAGTCGAATATAAGGAGGTTTAGGAGGTTTCCTTCTCATTTCATTCTCCTTTTTTCTCATTATTCATCCTTCAGCATTCGAAGGGAAAAGCTCTGGGTTGTAGTATTTGATGGTTCTGCTCTTGAACAAACATTTTGCTCATTAATAACTCATAAGTACATGCTTACTACAGCTTGACAAAGTACATGAAAATGCCTTTTGCAGGCCGGTGCCCAGTTACATAAAACATCTTTTAGGATTTTTGTGTTGCAAAGAAAGAATTGTTCTAATTAGGAAGTATTTCTAAATAAGAGTTTTAAATGTATTTCAAGGATCAGCTCGAGGTTTTGGCCATCATTTCATATATAATAACACTCAAGCTGAGATCTGTGAATGAAGTGACATCACTAAAACAGTCCCTCCAGGATTACGCTGGCTTCTTTGGCATTGTTGCGACCTTACATACCTGATTTCATGGCAGCCTTTGTAAAAGAAATTGCAATGCATGTTGTGATGTCTTTAGGCGTTTTTTTGCAATAAAATTTCAGGAGTAGTGATGGGAATCGAGAACCGGTTCCAAATTGTCCGATCCATTGGAATCCCATGCCTCAAACTTACCAATTCCTTTCGTTGATGCTGGCATGTTTTTTTCTGACACACTCTTGCATTGCTAAGACGTCAAACTCCCGCTGTTGGACATTTGCAACAAGGAGGAGTCATAGCAGAGAGGCAGATACAGAAGAGGGCTTCATCTCACAAAGAAAGATGATCACAGTGCTGCTTGTTATGTTATTTTTTGCCTTTATTATAGAACAGCTGGAGAGTAACAGGAAACGGGAGAGAGAAGAAGAAGGTTGGAATCATACCTGAGGTGTTGCTAAGTAGGGATGCGCACGATTAGATGGTTAAACGATTAAACGTCCGCCCCCTTGCTAGTAGGCACCAGAAATATTAGTTGGTTAAACCAATTAGTGTTTTATTCATGTACAAAGACGCTTAACTGTCATGCAGCTGCTGCCACTAGTGGGTGCTAAAGAGCCGTCAGACAGCAGTACCCCTCCCTGCAGTAAGGCTCCAGGAGACTGGAGTTTAAAACAGCGTGGTGGGAAATTGGAGAGATGTCATGTCACAAAACCAGCGCCGTTTGGCAGAACTTTGATCTAGAAAAAGAATTCAGCAGCAGTTAATCTTTTTTTATATTATTTGTTAAATTTAAGTGAGTTGTTGTCAGATAATGTGCAGGTTTACATTCATACTGCACGGAGCAAAATGCCTCATTTCAGCTGGAATTTAATTAGAATTTAGATGTTGTTTTATCAACTTTAAAGTGAACTGCTGTCATTTCTGTCAGATAATCTGCAAGGTGCCCCACATTTCAGAGGCAATTTATTTATTTTAATTGTTATTTTAGTGGTTAACTTTTGACTGAGTTGTCGTCATGTTCACATTCAAACCGCATGGTGTCTCGCACTTCAGCGGCATTTAAAATCCGACATGGTTGTTGAAGATTGTGATTAAAGGCTTCAAAGGGCTCTTAATGCACACAATGTTTTTGGGAAAATGTTTCAAAAACTTAACAATAAATTGTGCTAAATTTTGACTGATTTCTGTGTTTTCCTTTTTTAGGCTAGCCGACTAGTCTTTTTGTTTTATTTTTGTTTAGTCCACAGGGAAATTAGTCACCAGGAACATCCCTACTGCAAAGGCCTCAGCCTATATGGGGCGCACGCTCTACCCAGTGAGTTGGAAGGCGCCCCTGTAAAATGTTAATTTCAAGTAAGGATGGAAACAGCAGTAATATGCGGAAACATCTTTCTACACAAAAATGGCTTAAACTCCAGGAATGCCATGTAATTGAAACTATTTGAATCTTTAAGTTATAGTAACTTTATAATGTTGTGATAACATTGGTGCCACGCAGGCAGACTGATCAGATATCAAAAAGGGAATTGATAAAGAGCAGGACCGATTAACAAAACTGACAATGGTATTGATATCAGTAAGTCTCAGCAATTTCCGTTACATTAAAATTGCAAAGGTAGTTTCAAGCTTCTTCTTTTTTTTGTCAAAGTCAACTTGTTCCAGTAAGAATTAATCTTGTTATTTAAACTACACTAACGTAACCAAAAACCATGCACATTTAATCAAACTCAACTCGAGTCTTTCAGCATGTGCCAAAAATCTGGACATAGCAGCCTCTTGTCAACGCCTTACAGCCATTCTCCAGGTGTGTTTTGCGGCAGAAAGCATTTGTGTTTCACCACGACGTTGTGTGCAGTACAAAACAGTTTACCCCACTTTCCTGCTGAACATCAGGGAATTGCCTTGGGCGGTCTTTAGCAGTAACATTGTTGGTAAATGTGAGACGTTTGTGTTGCACATCTGCATCTTCACAAACAGAAACAAGTGAGGTTGATGACATTATGCAGGGGAGTAGTTAGGAGGATAGGTTAAATTTGCAGAAAAGTTTGAGAAAATTGCGATGTTTCACTGCTGGAAAATGCGTTACTGTTGCGACCGCAACTTTGCAGCATCCTGGAAGGGCTGACTGAAAAGTAGTGTGCCAAGACATGCAAAATTCTGGGTACAAATACTCCACATTTTATCTGTTATTGTTTCTTTAGTTCTACTTGTCTGCCCAGGTCTTTGCTCTCCTTTCTGATGATCTGAGTTCAGGTAAAAATTGGAAACATCCTTTCACCCCTACAAGCTAAATATCATTGTAACTGTAGCTCCGACTTCTGATGGAGAAGCTGATGTTTGCTGTAAAGAACGAGCTACAGACAAGGATGCTTCACACGTTACCTGGAACACAAAGTTACCCAACAAATCCTGTTCTTTCTGATGACATATACATGTTTCCTATTTATTTTTTTAACCTCTATTTCTGAGTGATTTTCTATTGGTTTTTTTGTTTGTTTGTTTTGCTTGTTTAGTTCCTATGGGGAGATTGAAAACCAATAAATATATTAAAGAACAAAAAAGGCCGGCACAACATCAGGCAGGTTGTGAACAAACCTCCAGAAGAGAAAATAAAGGTGAATAGTAAAAATATTTTTGCTTGATTATAACCTGTCTGATCATCTGACTGCTTGTGTTTGTTGCCTTGAATTTGTTAGCAATGTTGCCACATTCACAGATCTATCCTTGATGAGTACAGTGTTATTATATAATATGAATTAATGACGGCTAAAAGACCCAACAGAGGTATTTTTAACCATCAAAACTGTTTTTTATCTGTGAATTAAATTGAAATGTGCCAAGAGGATTGTGACAGGATTTTTTTCTTTGTCTGCTCTTTAGCCTTATGTTAATCTGACCTTTTATTTAATTTGTATTGTTGTTTTTAATTTAATTTCATGCCTTTGACCACAGGGTTTTGTTTACAACC